GGGCGGCAGCACACACTAAGCAACAACTAACTTACACAGGGGCAGAATGGGGGAGGAATGCACCAAGCAGCTTCTTCTTCTCCCTTACATATGCAAACTATCCACCCCAGGGCGGGTGTAGCCCTCACACCCACAATCATTCAACTCTAATAGCCTGCCCCATGGTCGCCTGAGGCTTTGGAGGGGACACACAGACGTAAACCATAAGAGCTTCATACAATAAGCATGGACTTTGATGTTAAGCTACTCTGAATTTGCTATCTGCATCAACAGCTTAACAGCCTTATATCCTCTTTGAGTCCTTGCTTCCTCATCTGTTAAATGCAGATGATAGTGTTTCTTACAGAGTTGTTCTGAGCATTAAGTGGATGTAGAATGTTAAGTGGCAGCCACCATGCCCACCCAGAGGGACAGATTAGCAGTAACTCTTGTTATTTATAGTGGCTCTACCCATTTAATGCAGGAACAGTGAAAAATTTTGAAAAGGGACACTCAGGATATATCCAAATGTAGAATACAGTGGTGGATTTATGGTTTGTATAAAATACATCATGTTCCCTGACTTTTGCAGTAGATTATTTTACTTAATAACATCATGAAAACTTAAGTAAAATTGTTTGATTCATAGTGACCCTGTGGCTCCACTATTAATATTAGACTATTCTTTTTAAATTATAGCGGTATGGATAGGTTCTGGGTGTTTTATTTTGGTTTTGTGTTTGGTTTTGGTTTTTATTCCTTATGCTATAATGGGACTTTGGAAGGAGCTACGTCTCCAGCCCTTTTTATTTTTCATTTTGAGAAAGTGACTTAAGTCATCAAATTGCTTGTGCTGGCCTGGACTTTTGAGATTATCCTGCCTTAGTCTCCCAGAGTAGTATCATTTCAGCATTGACCACCTAGGTCTAGTGATAGACTCTGTTAAGAGTAATAAGTCCATCACCACAGAAAAATATGAAGATATGCTAATTAACTTGATTTAATCATTCAGATTAAATCATGTATCCCATTATACCACCTAAATATATGTAAGTATGATTTATCAACTAAAAATTTCGATGTAAAAGAAAAAACTGGATTGTACTTGTTGATACCCTTTAAAATACTGAAAATGATAACTTGATAAATTTATTTAATCCCTTTATTTAAGCTTAAGACTGTAAACTAATCTGTGAGTCTTATAGCATGCATTGGAGGTGTAGAAGAGGATAATGATCAGAATATTGGAGATTTTAAGATAGAAACAGTACATCTAGATGAGTTAAATAGGCTTTAATCTGTTTCAAGACCAAATGCACTGTTCTTTGCATTTTATATGAAATACTTGATTTGTAGAATCAGAAATAAGATATGTTGGGCACTGTGTGTCATTTAGGAAATTGGTCCTTTATTGAGGTAAACTTATTAAGTTACTAGATATGAAAGATCAATTTTCTTTCTGTAAAAATCAACCTTTTACAAATAAATGTAATTGGATAATTGAATATAGATTAATCAAGTTTAAATGTCACTACATTTATCTTAACACATTCCCCCTGGCTTGAAGCATTGGTGGTACCTGCATGATTATCTCATCAGGCAGGTTGTCCACAGGTGGTACAAACAGATCTCATCACTTCTATTGGTCTGATTACTAATAGAATTATTAAAAAGTCATTTGATAGGACAGTGAGACCTGTACCACTGGTGGTTCAAGCTGCCCAGCAGGGAGAGCATAAGTTAAGATGCATCATGAATGTTTTAAGACAGAGTTAATAAATGACATTTATCCTCAAAATGTTTATGAGGTTGATCAATATGTAATACAACAACCATTGTTAATTTCTTATCACCTTCTCTGAAGTTCTGTATTGCTTGTATTGTTTTTGTGTTATTTTGTAAATGTATGTGTGTTTGTTAAAAAAAAAAAAAAAAAAAAAAGGTTAGAAAGGGGCTGGGGATACAGTTCAGCAGCCCAGTGCCTGCCTGGCAAGCGCAAGATCCTGAGTTTGATTTCTGGTACAAAAAAAAATAACGGTTTGTGAACTTGAATTACATACATACAGGATTTGGTACAATTCTACAAATTAGGGTGTTTAGTTACAGAGATACTTAGTATTAAAAGATTTACTTGTGATACATCATTTAATCTATTTTATATGGAGCCACTTGATAAACATAGCATACGTATTTTACAGTATTTTACACAGTATTTTATTTTGGATGTTTTGGAAAGAATCATCCCTTCTGCAACACTCTGGAGCTGGGTTATGTGCTGCACTCCTGTAATCCCAGCTGTCTGGGAGACTGAGGCAGGAGGATTTAAAGTTCTAACCAAGAAGCCAGGTGTGGTGGTGCACGCCTGTAATCCCAGCACTCAGGAGGCTGAGACAGGAGGATCCTTGCAAGTTTAAGACCAGGCTGGGCTACAAAGTGAGCTCAAGGCCAGCCTGACCTGCACAGCGAGACCCTGTCTCAAAAAGACAAAAAAAAAGTTCTAACCAAGACTGGGTAATTTTGCACCTTAGTGAGACTGGCCCGCAGAGAACTTAAAGTTTGCTTCAGTTACCAATGAGTAGGCCTCATTTTTCTTCAGTTTTCTTGAGAGCTCATTTTGTTTGGAGAATGTTTTAATGCCAGTACTTATACTTCAAATTTCTAAGTAGTTCTCATCAGAGGGAAAACTAGGAAAAGGAGGAGATTCAGGGTTTTTCCTCCATAATTGATCTGTTCAGTTATTTCACTACCTTTTGGCTTCTTATTTTCATCGTACTTCTTTATACAGTGGCAAAGTTAAAACTATAAAACGTTAAAAAGTTGTTTGTAAAAAAAAACCTATACTCACTATTCAAAAAAAATAGTACACATACAAATGAAAATCATCATAACATTAAGATATAATCATTATTGATACAGTGTTTATAATCTTTGAGTGTTTTGCCTTTATATGTACAAATATATATGCTTGGTAACAGTAGAAGATCTTGATATACATTGTGATCTTGTCTAGTCTACTTGATTTATTGATGTAGGTAGTTAATAGGCACTTAGATTCAGTCATGTTCACCGTGGAACTCTTGGTCCCTTCATCCCTTTATCCAGAGGACCAATATCTCCCCTTTTCTTTTTTCTTCCCTTCTCCTTCCCCCTCCTTTTCATCCTCCTTTTCCTCTCTACCTTCATTTTTCCCTCCCTTTCTTCTGTGATACCCAGGGACTCCCACATACTAGGCAAACACTCTAATCTTACCCCCTACCCATTTCTTAGTAATATTGAATCAAGACACGTGTGGTGGTGTAATCCCAGCACTCTTGGAGCTTGAGGGAAGAGAACTGCAAATTCTCGCCTAACCTAGGCAATTTAGCAAGATCCTTAATCACAGTTCAAAGGCCTGGGATGCAGCTCAGTGTGAAGGCCCTAAATTTAATCTCCAGCACCATCAACAAAAGTCAGGTATTACCTTATCAACCCTTTTATGAATGTATTTTCATGACTCTTGGTCACTTTCTCATTGCGGGGACACAATACTCAACGCCCCACGACATAGAGGGGGAGGGCTTTATTTTGGCTCCTGCTTTGAGTCCCTAGTGGGCTGTCTCCAACGCAGAAACTGGGTGGTGGAAGGGCCGGGGGAGGAAACTGCTCCTTCCTGCAGCCCAGAAGCAGGGTGAAGGGAATCGCCCAGGGGGAGAGCGGCCGGTCCATTTCAAACTCTCGGTGACCCACCTTCAGACAGGCCCCCTCCTAAGGGCACAGTCAGCTGCTGAACTCCTCAGTGGATGAATTGAATTCGTGACTGTAGTGTCCCCGTGGTCCAGCCACCTTTCACAATCTGAACCTCTAAAGACGTGAGGTTTTTGGGGGGGACATTCTGTATCCAATCTGGTAATAACCTTTATTTTCTGTCTTAAATGTTAATGCCTAAAACTTTATTTCTTTATTCTGTTTGGGATTTTTGTTTGTTTGGTTTTATTTTGTTTCTGAGAAAGAATCTTAATATGTAGTTCAAGTTGGGCTTGAACACACTATGTGACTCAGGCTGGCCATAAACTTAATGGATATCCTCCTGTCTCAGCCTCCTGAGTCCTGGGGATTATAGGCATATGCCAGCACACCAGGTATTAGTGCCTAAACTTTCCATTTTGTTTTTCTCTACAGTTATAGAAGTGAAATTAATTGGCCAAATGATTTGACCATTTTTAAGCTTTGAGTTTTCTTATGTATGTAAGTTACAATTAATCATATAACCTCTGTCAGTCTTTTTTTGTTTCTCTTTTGAGACTGGGTATCTATGTAGCACACACTGACCTTGAACTCACAGTGATCTTGCCTCAGTGTAGTGAGTGCTGGGATTAGAGGTGTGTGCCCCCTTACCTGACCCTCTGTAATTATTTCTACCACTTACCACTATAAAAAAAACTATGTTCTTCTCTTACTTGTTTTTTTTGTCCCCTTAGGAATATAAGTTTCACAGAAGCAAGGCTTTATCCTTTTTTTACAGTGCTGTATTCTGATGCAAAAACAGTGCTTGGCATATAATAAGCTCTTTAAATATTGAATTAGTGAATGCATATTATAACATCATATATAGTTTGTATACTTAAACTACGTGGAAGGTATATGATGTAAAGGTACATGATTTGTAAAGGTATATCAAAGACATTTATTGTAGGGTATGTGCCTGGTATTAGCCATATATAGGATAGAAAAATTAAATGCCTTAAGATTGGCCCAGAATGCTTTTGGATTTCCTCTCCTTACTCATCCTCATCCCTACGTATTTCAGAAGTTGCCTAATAAATTTCTTTGTTCTTTGTTGAATTTTGGTTGGACCATGGTAAGAATGGCTGCTGAGCTGGATTTTCAGAGTAGGTGTCATTTATTTAAGAATACATCCCATTGCTTGGCTTTTTCATTTCTAAATGTAAATACCTAACATGCACAACTTAAAGGAGGAAAAATGTATTTTGGCTCAGTTTCAGAAGTGTCACTCCATGCTCACTTTGGTCTGTTGCTTCTAGGACTGTGTGAAGCAGAAATGTCATGGAGGAAGGGCTTAGTGGATGAGAGATGCTCACCTCATGGCAGCTGGGAAGGAGAGAGAGAAGGAAAGCGCCCAAGAGAAGGTATGCCCTTCATAGTCCTGACCCCAGTAATATCCTTCGTCCAACTAGCCACCACCTCCAGGGAGCCCATTCAGCTGTGAACTCATCCGTGGGTTAACCTGTTGGTAAGGTTATCCTCCATACAACCCGGACACCTTTCTAGTGTCTCTTAATCCAATCAAGTTGAGAAACCAGTCTAACCATCACATGCCAAGCAGTGGTCTAGGCAGCTTGGATAGAATAGGTAAAAAAACAGACATGCTTCTTGTAGTACTTATAGTATCACAAGTGAAGAAAAATGTTTAGTTTTTAACACAGAGTCTTGCTATTGTAGTTCAGGCTGACCTTGAACTTATAATGTTGTCCAGGCTGGCCTCAAATTCACAATGAAGCTCCTATCTCAGCCTCCTGAGTACTGGGATTATGGGCTTTGATCACTATGTTCAGCTTGGTGTATTAATATTTTAATTAATAATCTAAACATTACAAAGTGTTCTACTTTGTCCTTTTTTGTGTGTGATAGCAGCCCTTCTTATTTTTTTTTTTCCTTTTTTGAGATAAGGTCTTACTAAATTACAAAATAGCCCAGGATAGGCTTGGATTTGCAGTCTTGCCTCAGTTTGCCAGAGTGCTGGAACTATAGGTGTGTGCCACCACACCTAGCTTCTGCCTTAGCTTTCTTTTAATGTTTTTAAAATTAATTTTATTGGTACAATTTTTTTTTTTCTTTTGTTCTCTTTTTGAGACAGGGTCTCCCTATGCAATTCAGGCTGGCCTTGAGCTCACTTTGTAGCCCAGGTGAGTCTTGAACTTGCAGCAATTCTCCTGCGTCATCCTCCCAAGTGCTGAGATTACAGGCATGCCAGCATGCCCAGCTGGTACAATTTTGATATACATGATGATCACATACATTGTAGGGAATTCGTTCCTATACATATCTTGATTCTTTTTCTTCCCATTCCCCTGCCCTCTTTTTAAACCTTCATCCCCTTCTTATTTACAGAGGTTTTATTTTCATTTTTTCCTCCTATTGTCTTTTGTTTTCTTTTCCCTTCCTTCTCTGCTTCTTATTCTCCTTCCCAACTGAACATTTTTGGTTGTTGACTTTGGATCCAGCAGTGCTACAGAATTTATTAAATCAAGAAGTCTTTTGATGAGATTTTGGGGTTCTTATATGTGAAGTATCATGTAATGTGCACATGGTAATTTAACTTCTCTTTTTCCTGTCCTTGTGTTTCTCTTATCTAATTGCTCCAGCTTATGTTTCCAGAACTATATTGAATAAGAGTGGTGATAGTGGACATCTCTGTCTTATTCCTGATTTTAGAGTGAAAGCTGGTCAGTTTTTGACCATTTAGTATGATGTTGCCTATTGGTGTGTCATAGCTGGCTTTTATCAGGCTGAGATAAAACCATGTATTTCAGTTTTCTGCAAGGTTTTTGCCATGAATGGGTGTTGGACTTTGTCAAATGTTTTTTCTGCATCTGTTAAGATGACCATGTGGTTTTTATACTTAGATCAGTTAGTGTGGTGTATTACATTTATTGATTTGCATACGTTGAAGCACCCCTGCATCCCTGAGATGAATCCTGCTTGGTCATGGTATATGTACCCTTTCTGATAGTTTGCTGCGTTCTGTTTGCCAGTATCATATTGAGGATTTGTGCCCTTGCATACATTAGGGACTTTGGCCTGTAGCTCTCTTTTTTTGGTTGTGTCTTTTTCTGTTTGGGTATTAGGGTTATGCTTGCTTCTAGGAATGATGTTGGGAGTAGTACTTCCCTTTCAATTTCATTGAAGAGTTTGAAGTGTAGTGACATTACAACTTCTCTAATGTTCTTGTTGAATTCAGCTATGAATCTGTCAGGACCTGGGCTTTTCTTTTTTGGTAGTTTTCTTATTTATACCTTCAATTTCTTTGACTAATTTTGGGTTATTTAGAAGTTTTATAGCTTCTTCATTCAGCCTTTGCAATTCATATGGATTTAGGACACTGTCTACCTCGTCGAGTTTTCTATCTGACAGAGTAATGTTTCTCAAAATAGACTTGATAGTCTTCTAAATTTCTGCAGTATCTGCTGTGATCTCGACATTTTCCCTACTATTTCATGGATTTGAGTCTTATCTTTCCTTTGTTTGATAAAGTTGGTGAACCTTATCATTGATTAACTCTTAGAATTCTTTTCTTAGTCTTTCTTTTATTTTAAAAATAAAAGGAGGGGGGCTGGGGATATAGCTCAGCG